CAAGGAAATGCATTACTATTATTATTATTATAAATATATTCTCATGAATCTGTTCATTAAGATCATATATGGTTTAGGGGGTTTTATCCTGATTTAAGTGGTCAAATGATCGTGATCCCGACTGGTGGGTTGCCTACTCTTCAGTCTAGCCAGCTGCTATTGAGCTGCGAGTTTAACGCATTCCATATGACTCTCACTACAGTTTAATTCATTGTTTTATTATTATTAATGCATTCGTTTGAATCTATTACTTTATATGATTGACGTTTAAGGAAGATTCATCCCGATTAAAGCCGTCAAATTGCCATGATCCCGACTGGTGGGTTACTGATGCTTCGCTGGCCGCTCATCCAGCCAGTCACTGTTAAACTTAAAGATTAAGGCGTTCTCTACCACTCCCGTTGCAAGAAAATTAATTATTTTATTATTATGTATAGGCTATATTCATATGAATCTATCATTTTATATGATATACGTTTGAGGGAGGTTTATCCCAATTAAAGGGGTCAAATAACTGTTATCCTGACTGGTGGGTTACTGACACTTTAGTCTAGCCAGCTGCTATGAAGCTGCCAGTATAACACGTTCTCTACCACTCTCTCTGCAAGGAAATATATTATTTTATGATTATGAATTCATTCTTATTGGTCTGTTCTTTTACATGATCGACATTTTAGGGAGGTTTATCACAAATAAAGTGTTCAAATGACCGTGATCCTGACTGGTGGGTTACTGCTGCTTCAGTGCAGCCAGTCACTTTCAGCTCCGAATTGAACGGGTTCCATATCACTCCATCACTCCCGTATAGAGTGGAAGGAGAGCAACATAAATCTGCCATAAATCAATGGTTCCTGACAGTGGACTTCCAGCCGCCAGGCAACCGACCACTGGCAGAACCACTGGCAGGTCACGTGACCTGCCAGAATCAGACTGCCAGCTGCCAATGGTCACTGGTGCTGCCAATCAGTTAGGGATTGAACCCCTAATGGAGTTTAAGTCGGCTTTCTTTTATAGAATTATTAAAAAGCATTGCAGTTTGTCCTGTTGTCGCTGAAATTACTTTATGAGAAAGATTCTTGTTATTGGGATAATTCACGTTTTAATAGGCATTTTTATGCTGTACATTATTGCATAACATAAATCGTAAAATCGTCACAACTAGTGGCAGTATCCATACAAATTAGAATGATTTCCTTGGAATGAGAGGCAGCAGAGGCTGGCTGGTTGAGCGTCCAGCGAAGTGTCAGTAAGCAACCAGTCGTGATCACGTTCATTTGACTGCTTTTATTGGGAAAAAAACTAAAATGGCAATCATACAAAAGAATAGAGTCATAAGAATATATTTATAATATTAAAATAATGTATTTTCATACAGCTAGAGTGATAGGGAACGCGTTATACTTGCAGCTCAGCAGAGGCTGGCTTGTTGAGCGTCCAGAGAAGAGTTAGTAAGCAACCAGTCATGATCACGGTCATTTGACTGCTTTAATTGGGATAAACCCACCTAAAACGTCAATCACACCAAAAGAATAGAGTCATAAGAATATATTTATAATATTAAAATAATTTATTTCCTTGCAGCAAGAGTGATAGGGAACGCGTTATACTCGCAGTTTAACCATGGCTGGCTGGATTGAGCGTCAGTAAGCAACCAGTCGTGATCACGGTCATGTGACTGCTTTAATTGGGATAAACCCACCTAAAACGTCAATCATACAAAAGAATAGAGTCATAAGAATATATTTATAATATTAAAATAATGTATTTTCATACAGCGACAGTGATAGGGAACGCGTTATACTCGCAGCTCAGCAGCGGCTGGCTGGTTGAGCGTCCAGAGAAGCGTCAGTAAGCAACCAGTCATGATCATGTTCATTTGACTGCTTTAATTGGGATAAACCCACCTAAAACGTCAATCATACAAAAGAATAGAGTCATAAGAATATATTTATAATATTAAAATAATGTATTTTCATACAGCGACAGTGATAGGGAACGCGTTATACTCGCAGCTCAGCAGCGGCTGGCTGGTTGAGCGTCCAGAGAAAGTGGAAGCGACAATCAGCTGGCAGTTGGGATCACGGCCATTTGGTCACTTTATTTGAAATAAGCCTCTATTAAATGTTGACAAATTAAAAGACTAGACCCATAAGAATATATTAATAATCATAAAATAATATATTTCCTTGTAGAGAGAGTGGTAGAGAACGCGTTAAACTCGGAGCGCTCTTGCGGCTGTCTGACTGACATTTGGTCACTTTATTTGAAATAAGCCTCTATTAAATGTTGACAAATTAAAAGACTAGACCCATAAGAATATATTAATAATCATAAAATAATATATTTCTTTGTAGAGAGAGTGGTAGAGAACGCGTTAAACTCGGAGCACTCTTGCAGCTATCTGACTGAGCCGCCAGTGGAAGCAACAATAACCAAACAAGTTGGGATCACGGTTAGTTAAACACTTTAATCGCGCTAGAATCCTCTAAAACATCAATCATGTAAAAGTAAAGAACTGAACAGGTTCACAATAAGAAATTGCACAAAACACAAAATCTGCCGAAAATTTATGGTTGCTGAAACTTGTTAAGGAGTGGCGGCTCCTGCCAGCCAGTTGAAGATTGAACCCCTACTGAAAAAAGACTTGAAAGCAATAGTATGATGACATCACTGAATTGAATGATGAACTGTCTTTAACTGAAAAATTAGTGTTTACGATTGTCATTTTGCAATATTGAGATTATTTTCCTAATTAATGCTGTTCAGTTGCTTTGACACAATCTGTATTGTTAAAAGCGCAGATATAAATAAAGGTGAATAGTATGAGATCCAGGGGGTGATTCTTCTTGTTTAGAGACTAAACAGAAACTATAACCTAAGTGAAGGTCATTTGATATAATTCAGTGTATATGTTTATCAGTTAGCTGATGTGAAGGGTTGATTTTGCAGTGTGGTTGGTTACAGTGGCACAAATGTATTTTCAATCTCTGAGAACAGAGCTCTGTGGTTAGTCTGGACTGGAGAATGTGCTGACGTGAAGGCAGGAGCTGTAACATGAGTGCCAGCATGATAATTAAAGCAAAATGACAGAAGCAGAAATGCTGTTGTTTTAAGTTTAAGGCTAGTTAGCTCATACATTTCTTTTCTGCCAATGAAAATAGTGTCATGAGAAACCAAAGCATCAAACTTTGGGTGTCACAAAGCAGTGAAAAACTAAATAAACAGATAATAATAAATATTAATAAATAAATTATTAGGTAATAGACGGATATTAGCACAGCCATGATAACCCGCATAACTCCACCTGAAACTGAATCGCAGCTGTGCTGTTATTCTAAACAGTCTAAGGGATAGTTCACTCAAAAAATGTAAATTCTATCATCAGTTACTCACTATCAGTGTTGGGGAAAGTTACTTTTAAAAGTAATGCATTACAATATTGCGTTACTCCATAAAAAAGTAACTAATTACGTTACTTAGTTACTTTTTATGGAAAGTAATGCGTTATGTTACTTTTGCGTTCACCATTATGTCGTTCGAAAATCCAAAAGACTTTTACTTATCTTCGAAACACAAATTAAAATTAATTGACATCATAAAAGTAATCCATATGAACTGAGCTGTTTAATCCAAGTCCAAAAAACAATCGCTTTATATAATAAACAGATTGAATTTAGTCTTTTTACTCACATAAAAACAATGGTCAGTGCACATCAACAACTTACCACTCTGCCCTAGTTAATTGGAAAGCCACAGGAAACCTTTTGCTTGAACCACGTAGGTTCTCGTGGAGTCTCAACCATAATTGCATGCCACACAAGTACAAGGACAAACCACCTTGGCTCTTGCATGTCAAGCACATTTGAGCTAGGACTGAGCAATATTAAAGCAATAAGCCCCATTAAACACTGAACTTAGAACAACTAGGCACAACACATTGATCCATGCATTAGGTCTTAAGATGACAGCAGCTTAATATACTTGCTGCTGTGTGTCCTTAATGTAAATCACAAAAGACAGAAAATATCACTCACTGCTCTTGACTGAAAATATTTTTTAGTTTTTGTACAAATGACTTTATATTTAATTCATACAGTGAAGAATGTATGTAGTGATTCATTGTTACATTTGACATTCAATTTATGTGGTATTTCTTACTTGAATGCTACTGTTAAATAGACCTACTGTACTTGAACAATTTAAGGCACTTTTTTGTACATTGTATTCATTCTATTGTTTGTAATTTGCATCTTTTAGGGAAATGAATTTGGGAAATTAGGGAAATTAGTAGTCGCTGTACTGTTCTGTAACTTACAAGATAGTTGAAAAAGAATTGTGAGAAGATTGTGATCCTGCCTGGGAAATAAAGAAAGATTTTTGCAATATCACTCACCCCTAATTTGAGTTTCTGTTTACCATATTTGATGTGCTCTATGTATGTGCATTGATCAATGTTTATATGTGAATAAAAGCCTAATTTGTTCATCATATAAAATCTGTTCATCATATAAAGTGATCAGAAGACTTGTATTAAGCCACTCAATTCATATGGATTACATTTATGATGTCTTTATGAACTTTCTGAAGCATCAAACCTTTGGTGGAATGGACTTGCTGTGGAGGGACAGAAATCAAAGGTTTCATTAAAAACATCTTCATTTGTGTTTCGAAGATGAATGAAAGGCTCATGGGTTTTGAATGACATCAGGGGGAATAATTGATGACAGATTCTTCGTTTTGTGTTAATTTAGTGTAAATTAATTTGAGTATAAATTGTACAAGGACTACAGTCAGTGACAGTGACCGTCACCCAATGCCTTTTAAGCTAAAACAAACATCCTGACAAAGTCCTGACACAGAGATCACAATGTGTGCACTGACCGATTGGATCACTTATTGATTAAGCATGTTTGTTTGTTTTTGTAGGAAAGAAAATGCTTTTTTCATCCTTCAATTCACTCTTTGAGGATCTTGTTGAGACACCTGGAGAAAGATCCTCTCTCATATAAACTGAAAAACATCAACCCTAGGAAGAATGAACTTGTGTTATCAGTCCATCACTTTACATCCTTCCCAATAACTATTTACCTGCACTTTGGCAGGCCTCATTCAGCCTCTCCTCTACCTCGATAACTCACATTCACACGCTTCGCCAGTGACCCACCGCTGCTCCTGCAGGCTGGGTACGGAGCTGGTCTGGCCGCGTGCCCCTCCAGCTCTGTGTGTTAGTGTGAGATGGCGCGGCAGGAAGCAGAGGGTCGTTGCCGCTGTGGACTGTAATGTCAGAGCCCAGCAGCCCCGGCGAGAGCCAGTGCGGCGCTCCCAGATTCTTCGTGGGCTGCGCGGAGGATGAGAGCGAAGGCCTGGACGACTACGCCAGCATGAGAACAGACATGGAGCTGTATGAAGACGACCTGGAGGATGACTCGGTATGAATGGTGTGCAGTTTGATTGAGTGTCTGGTCTAATAGAGGGATTTTGCACAAAGTCCTTCAAAAACTTGGAGATTTAGTTGTTAGAGAACAGAAGCATGTAAAAAAAAGTTTTTTAGCAGCCATTACTTCAGTCTTCAGTGTCACGTGATCCTTCAGAAATAATTCTAATATGCTGATTCGGTGCTCAAGAAAAATGTCTTATTATTATCAATATTGAAAACAGTTGTGCTGCTTAATATGTTTGTAGAAATTTATGTTTTTTCAGGATTCTTTGAAGAATAGAAAGTTTAAAAGAACAGCATTAGTTTAACATAGAAATCTTTTGTAACATTATAAATGCCTTTACTCTCACTTTTAATCAATTTAATGCATCCTTGCTAAATGAAAGTATTAATTTCCTAAACAAAAATTTTTTACTTTTGAATAGTAGTGTAGAACTACTTCCTTTTACTTTTTTATCACAAATCATTACTAATTTGAAAATGTCCAGTGGCGAAGTGCTGTGCAACAGTAATGCAGTCATCAAAAGTGCTTCATGGTCATGCAATTACAGAGAGTTAATCAATACACTTGGAATGTCAAACATGTTTTAAAAAATTAACAATGCCTTAGCTTAACCTTTTTAATATTTTAGATTTTGATATAATTCAGGGCTGTTTTCGTAATGCAGTATGTCTCTGGTCGTTCCTGGGATTCTCCAGAAATTTTTTAAAACCCCTGAAGTGTTCTTTTCAACATCTGTACACATAAGTATGGCCACTCATATGCAGTCTTGCTGCTGAGTTTGACATGTTTAGGTAGATACCGATATGTCTTATTTAAATTCTTGCTTTTCTCTTAAGCCTCCAGAGTGTCAGATCGAGGTGGGTATTTGCTGTATGATGAAGAAATCCAAGTCCAAACCCATGACTCAGATCTTGGAGCGTCTTTGCAAGTTTGAGTACCTCACAGTGGTCATCTTTCCAGAGGACGTCATACTCAATGAGCCGGTGGAGAAGTGGCCACTCTGTGACTGCCTGATCTCATTTCACTCTAAAGGTTTGTCGTGTGCTTGTGTCCTTTTGAGCTGCTTGTAGATCGGGTTTCTCCATCGAAGTCTTAACCGTAAAATAAGTCCATAAAATCAAGAAGCAGCTTTATGGAAGGGATCTCATGTTCGTTTACCAAGCATTCCTGCATCATTAACTAGTTTAATGAGACACAATGAAGGTACAGGCAACATTTCTGCAATTTTTTGTAATCTGCAGTCTGCATTTTGCCCTCATATGAAGTTCCCAATCGCATGGATTTCTATTGAAATGACTGGATTTTTGCCTGTGAAAATATGCCAAACAATGAATTTGTCCTTTGGTGTGCAAATATGCCTGATAAGCAGTTTACAAATTTATTTACCGGTGTGTTGTGTCTTTGGCCAGTCATTTTTATATTATAATGACCGATTTACCAATATTAATATTTTCTCTTGAGTTAGGTTTCCCCTTGGATAAGGCAGTGAGTTACGTAAAACTCCGCAACCCGCTGCTCATCAATGATCTTAATATGCAGTATTACATACAGGATAGGTATTAGCATATTCTTCAACCACAGTTTTGCATATTATCTCTCATATTTACATACATTTCAGCATCCTGTATGATACCTGAATAAAGCTTTTCTGTAATTTTTTAAAAATCATATTTTAGGAGGGAAGTATATCGTATCCTGCAGGAGGAGGGGATAGATCTGCCACGCTATGCTGTGTTAAACCGTGACCCTGACAAGCCTGATGGTCAGTCAAAGCTGTTTTCAAATATACAAACATTATTTTAGATTTTTTCCCTGATATGTTTTTATAGAGCTGCCTTTTGTTGTTTAATTGCTTATTTCCTCGTCATCCAATAGTGAAGTAGAAACCTTAATCTTAGCAAAGTGTCCTGCTTTGTCTCTGCTCTGATTTATTTTAGTCTCTGAGTAAATGTAGCCCCTCACATAGAGCAATTTCAAGTGTTTTACAGGCCAAAGATACAAGTATTGCTCTGAGGCCTGTGATGTGATTGTCTTGAATCCAATGAGCCATTATGTTCTTGGCAGCTATGACAGTTCCCTGAGGACCTGAATAAATTTATCCTACTCTAAACAAATGACAATCAAAGTGCTATATTTACCCAGTTATAATTCCACATAATGGTCATATCTCAGATGATGACTGTGTTATCTTCGTATCGGCTCAGATATGGTTTGTCTTCACTGTAATACTGTTTTGATTGGCCTTTCCTTCTTGTGTTTTGTCATAGAGTGTAACCTGGTTGAGGGAGAAGACCAAGTTGAAGTTAACGGCGAAGTCTTTCTAAAACCTTTTGTAGAGAAGCCAGTTTCTGCTGAGGACCATAATGTGTACATCTACTACCCAACTTCAGCTGGAGGAGGCAGCCAGCGTCTCTTTAGAAAGGTCTTTTAGCAATGACTTCCTGTTATCTATGCCATAGAGCTTGAATTGCATCCCTCTCAGTCACACAGGCACATAATTTGTTGTTGGGAATGGTCGAAACAGACACGAAGAAGAGCATGCTGACATTTTCTTTTGGCATTCCCTGTCAGCTGTTAAAAATGGACACAATTGCAGAGTTTATCAATGTTTTTAGTCAGTGTTTGGAATACTACTAACATGAAGTCTTGTTTTAGTAGTTCATTCATTCATTAAAACATTTGATTTACCAACCAGAGTTATCGAGTGCTGCAGGAAAGTCCTAAAACCGGGAAACAGGTTTGCATTTTTGAACTTCCTGTTCCATCGACCCAAAGTCAGTAGGTCATTTGAATGCCTGAAAAAAAGGTCTGTGGCTAAATGGGACTACAGAGGTTGTCTTGGACATTAAAAGTCATCTGCTCATTAGTTCACAACATTTACATCCTCACTTTGTTTGTCATCTTCCTAACTATTCTGCTATTGCTATTGTAAGTCAAACTTTTTCCAACTTATAGATTTGGAAAAAAGTCATGTGACCATGGTGTAGTTCATTTACAGTATATCCTACCTGTAGCTTTTTACTTCTGTTGATTGTATTTAGGCTTCAAAAAATATTCATGAAGTGTTTTTTATGGGGGAAATATTATCATCACAAAACATGTAAGAAGCATAAACTTTTGCTGGCCACAAAGCTTATTTTCTAATCTATCTATTTAACTATCTAATTTTGAAAGCCAATGGCTTTTTGTTGTGGCAACCAGGTATTGCTAATTTATGGGTTGACTTAATAAATTACATCCATCATCCCTGCAGCACTCATGCTCAATGTTGTCTCCAAATTTAGCATCTTCTATTATGTCGCAACAAAGCTGAAGTGTCTTTTTTTTTTCTTTGGATTTTTAAAAATACAATAACAGTTGCTGAGTCAGTTGAGTAAGCTATCTGTATGTTAACTCCCTGAAAAGTGTAACAGTGTGACTAGAACTTTGCTTTGTTTTTTTAAGCATCTCAACCATCCTGACACACTGGCACAACCAATGCTGTGAGTTTGGGGCAGAGCAGTGTTTGTTCGACCAATAGCAGATAGGGATAGTGTTCATGAAACTTTTGCAAAATATTCCATTTGGTAACACTAGTGTCACAGCAACTACACTTTGCAGTTTTAAATTTGGTTGTTTATCACTGTGTATTTGATTCAGTTACATAAATTAGGGTGGATTTTAATTTGTATTAGCTGTATTAATATAAATGTATGTGTTTGTGTTTGGTGCTATTACCTTAATTGTAATGCTTAATTTTTTATAGCTTAAATATGACCCTGGACCACAAAACCAGTCTTAAGTCGCTGGGGTATATTTGTAGCAATAGCCAAAAATACATTGTGTGGGTCAAAATTATAGATTTTTCTTTTATGCCAAAAATAATTAGGATATTAAGTAAAGATCATATTCCATGAAGATATTTTGTAAATTTCCTACTGTAAATATATTAAAACTTAATTTTTGATTAGTAATATGCATTGCTAAGAACTTAATTTGGACAATTTTAAAGGCGATTTTCTCAATATTTAGATTTTTTTTGTACCCTCAGATTCCAGATTTTCAAATAGTTGTATCTCAGCCAAATATTAGTAATAGTAGTAATAGTCCTATCCTAACAAACAAAACATCAATGGAAAGCTTATTTATTCAGCTTTCAGATGATGTATTTCGGAAAATTGACCCTTATGACTGGTTTTGTGGTCAATCTGTGTATCATTCGATCATTCGTTTTTTTGATTTAATATTGAAAGTAGAAAAATTAGAAATGGCTCCTTTTTCGTTTTTTTGTTTTTTTCCAAAAACCGAAAAACGAGAATTCAGCTTACATTTTCGTTTTTCGTTCTTGGGTGGAAAAAGAACAAAAAACGAAAATGTAAGCTGAATTCTCGTTTTTCATGTTTTGGAAAAAAACGAAAATACGAAAAAGGAGCCGTTTTCTAATTTTTCGACTTTCAATATTTAATCAAAAACGAATGATCGAATGATACACGGATTGTGGTCCATGGTCACAAATGGTTTCATGTTTCATAGTAACTTCCTAGCACTGCCTACAGTGAAATGAATTATAGTTTATTAACAAAACTGTATACAAAACTGTGAATTCTGCACATAATGCACAATGTTAAGCAAATTATTTGAGTGTGGATGTGTCTCGGTTTCAGATTGGGAGCAGAAGTAGTGTTTACTCTCCAGAGAGCAGTGTGAGGAAAACTGGCTCCTATATCTATGAAGAGTTCATGCCAACTGATGGCACAGATGTGAAGGTACTAAATAATTTAGCATCTTTACCCAGGGATCACATTACCCTGTTTCTCTTGATCTATATAGAGCAAAGTTTTGTTTTGTTTAGTTCAATTGTAAATTTGCTATTTTTAGAGGTGCAGCAACATTTCTCAGACAGGTTGGTGTCTTAGAATTAGTTCTTCATCTTGTTATGCTGTTTCCCTGGAAAATTATGCTATTTGTAAAATGTCTTTGTCCTTTTTTGTTTACAGCTCTACTTTGAACATAAAATTAAAATGTTATTTTTTGCTTTTGTGCGTGTTTGTTTTGTTACAGGTGTATACAGTAGGGCCAGATTACGCTCACGCAGAGGCTCGTAAGTCCCCTGCTCTCGACGGGAAAGTTGAGCGGGACAGTGAAGGCAAAGAAATCCGCTACCCAGTCATGCTCACTGCCATGGAGAAGCTTGTGGCCCGTAAAGTGTGTCTGGCATTCAAGGTCAGATGGGCTGTTCGTTTCTTGGTTTCTTGAAACAGAAGAACAGAATGAAAATGTTTCTGATAGATTACATTTTCTGGGCTTCAGAGTTTAAGGCATTTTCTTCTTTCAGCTCAGTTAAAGCTGTTCATATTGATTTTATTCTCAAAAACTTATTTCACTCTAGCAAACAGTGTGTGGATTCGACCTTCTCCGAGCCAATGGCCACTCGTATGTGTGTGATGTCAATGGATTTAGCTTTGTGAAGAATTCCATGAAGTACTATGATGACTGTGCTAAGATCCTGGGGTAAATCCTAATGATAATCAGAAAAAGATTCAAAATGTTTTTCATTTAAACAGATTAACATATAGTTAACAAAATGCACAACACGTGATGAGTGTGGCTTGTTTTTTCTCTTAGAAATATTGTGATGAGGGAGCTGGCTCCTCAGTTCCAGATCCCCTGGTCCATACCTACAGAGGCAGAGGACATTCCTATTGTACCCACTACATCAGGGACCATGTACTTATCACATGCTACACTCACATCTTTGACTCATTAAAGTAGTGTACACTATTAAATAAATGCTAGTAAGATTCATCTTTCTTTAAAAGAAATGCCAAGTGACCCAATTATGATATTGCATCAGAATGACTTTTTTGTGGTTCTGTCCGTTAGGATGGAGCTTCGCTGTGTGATTGCTGTGATCCGTCATGGAGATCGTACACCAAAGCAGAAGATGAAGATGGAAGTGCGGAATCCAATGTGTGTTCTTGTCATCTTCTCAATAGACTTAATCACTTAAAGCATGACTAATGGATCCAAATTGTAAAATACAGTGCTTTTCCTTTCTTCCAGGTTCTTTGAGCTTTTTGAAAAATACGGTGGGTATAAAACGGGCAAGCTGAAGCTAAAGAAACCCAAACAACTGCAGGTAACAATTTTATGTATTATAATTCATTTTTATGTTTTGTTGAATTTAAACCAGACACTCTCAGCCTTATTGACAAAGTCCACCTATTTTAATCTATGGGCACTCACTTTTTTTTCTCCCACTTTTTAACCAATGTATCTACATGACTCTTCCAGTCATTTGTTATTTACTGGTTAAGGTAGTTTGATGTATGTATATTCATTATAAAAGTGCCTGTGGTCTTTTAGAGTTTATTATTTACATGTCTACAAATCACATTTTTAACATTAGGCTACCTCATATATTCAAGTTCGCCAAGACTCTGGAAATCTTGGCTACTCCAAGGAAACAAAAGTTGTTGAGGGGGTAAATTTAAATAAGAAATACCTCAATATTTTAGTGTTTTAGTTAAGTTAAGTTAATACCTGTTTTGTCTTGTTTTGCATCACTTTAAGTCATTTTGAGGCCTCTTTGGAAGTTTGCTGAGGCCGCATTGTGAGCCAGTCATTTAAATGTTGAATTTATTGTTAAAACTGTGGTGCTACTCCATGTCTGTGCTGTGCTGTTTCCACAGGAAGTCCTGGACATTACCAGGACACTTTTGGCAGACATAGGACAGCATACTGACTGTGAAATAGAGGAGAAGAAGTCCAAGCTTGAACAACTAAAGACTGTTCTAGAAATGTACGTTAATGTAAGACGTTAACTGGGCCATGCTAACTGGCACACTTGCAGTCTCCTGTGGTGGCCTCCTTTCAGTCTTGTGACATGACATATTTTCCAAAGAAATAGATACATCATGTCTCATTTACATTTTTACTGGCTAAGGTTTTATATGAAACAATACATTAATTGCCAAAACAAATCTTAACAGATGCTTTCTTACAGAAAAACAACAAAAAAATACAATATTGTTTCTAGTGTGTCAAAGGAGACATCTGTAACATGTCTTAAAGGAGATTCAGTTGATGGATGTTATATATGAGCATTATATTCAGTGATATTTCCAACATGCAGTATTTTTAGATTGTCAGTAGTAAGATTCGTCCTGTGACAATGAAATCGCAGTGTCCCCTTTCACAACCCTTGTCAAGCATCACTCATTCAGGAATAGCGCAGATTCGATGGATGGATTTCAGAGCAGCTGATCTGGCATGTCCTTGTGGCTATATGTTAATATAGACGTCAGAAAAAAATTGTGAGGTGGAGGGTAAACTTCTTTTAAGTCTGAAGGATACAGCCTTTTTAAACTCTGGTCTCTGTCTTCTTTTTTCAGGTATGGCCATTTCTCTGGAATCAATAGGAAAGTGCAGCTAACATATCTTCCTCGTGGACAACCCAAAACATCCAGTGAGGAGGAAGGTATAAGGATTGCTGATTGGGAAACGTGTCCCCTTTGGCTTCAATCATATCGTGCATGATGGCGCCGCTGTGTGTGTTGTGTGCAGATACTCGTAAGGAGGGCCCCTCTATACTGCTGGTGCTGAAGTGGGGAGGAGAGCTGACTCCAGCTGGCAGAGTTCAGGCTGAAGAACTCGGCAGGGCTTTTCGCTGCATGTATCCTGGAGGTCAAGGTAGTCTCCTGTCTGTTAGTCTTTTAAGATTATGGACACACATTCGTCATTGGTTGTTTCCTATTTCACACATTAGTGGACTCAGAAACTCATGAAGAAGAACATCTAGAGTTCACAAATCTCATGCTTTAAGCTCCTCCTTACACCATTCTAATACAACCCGCTCTTGTAAACATTACATCTAAAAGTGATTGATTAACACATTCAGATTAATGATGTGACACAATATTGACATTTTAATAATGTTCTTTAATTATCTACAAGCATTATATAATGTTTAATAAATCAGTAGTTGTTGAACTTTTAAATATGAATATATGAATCATAGTTAAATAACTGACTAAGAGTGACTAATACAATACAGGTGCATAGAGTGCTGTTGGAATGAGTCCTAAAGCCCGGAAACGAATTAGCATTTCTGTACATACGGTTCCTTAATACATAATGTTTTTTTATTGTTTTTTTTTTATGGGCTTCTCATTAAATGTCTGTGGTTAACGAAAGCTCAAGATATTTTCACAATTTATTTCTACAACATAAAATACATAATACCCACTTGTGAATTTTAGCTTTTTGTCTTGAAAAAGGCAGTTAGGCTAAAGAATTGTCTAATTGGGACTACAGAGGCTGATGGGGACATTAAACATCATCATGCCAAACAGGAAAATTCATTTACTCATTAGTCCGCTTCTACAATCTTGTTGTGTTTATATTTGCACTCTTGCAAGTTATTCTAGCTCACACTTTCCAACTTGTAGATTTCAATAAAAAATGGAAGGAGTCTTTAGAAGATTCATGGTGGTGATGCTCAAAGTTTTAGCTTTTTAATTCTGGAAAAATGCTATTGGCTTTTTGTTCACTTCTGGATTTGCCTACAAAAATACGTCATCCCTGCAGCACTCTATGAATTACTTATTGTAATATAATAAATATAAGATCTATGAAGTATTTATTATAATATAATATTTTTTCTCCATGTCCTTGAGATTTATTAAATGTAAGGTTGTATGAAGTGTTACCCAAATTTGGGATAAAACCCAGTGCCTATTCAGCAGTCTTCATATCATTCACTTCCTTCATATCATTCACTCATTTGCGGTCATGTTTTACTTACCGATTGGTTTTGTGACTGAAGTTGCCAAATTCAAATTGAACACAGGGATGAATGAGATTTGAGAGCAAAATATACCCATTTGCACTTATGTTATGATTACATTTTCAGTTGTTGGACTTGTTAGCCTTTTGGACACATTAACTTGGACGTGTTAACCTACCCTATATCGGTTTGTTCCACCCTGCTCCTACAGACACCTTCTTGCAGAGTTTTGTTCCAGCTCCAACACACATGCCTCTTACTGTCAAGTAAGCACTTGATTAGGTTTGGAGCTAAACCCAGCAACACAGTGGGTTACCAGGAACAGGGTTGATTGCCTCAGTTTTATAGTTTTATATGGTTATTTAGTCCCATCAAGTGTTCATCAAATCTTGTGTTCTTGATCACTTGTAGGGGATTATGCTGGCTTTCCAGGCTGCGGCCTGCTCAGGCTTCACAGCACCTACCGGCATGACCTCAAGATCTATGCCTCTGATGAGGGCAGGGTGCAAATGACTGCTGCTGCCTTTGCAAAGGTCTTGTGCCACAACAAATACAGGTCGTCTAAGGTTTAAAGATATTAAGTTATCAGAGGATGTTAAGTTGGTGTTGGTTGTCTGGTTGTCAGGGTCTTTTGGCACTGGAAGGGGAACTGACACCGATCCTGGTCCAGATGGTAAAGAGTGCAAATATGAACGGCCTGCTGGATAACGATATCGAATCCCTCAGTGGCTGTCAGCAGAGAGTTAAGGCTAGACTTCATGAGATCATGCAGAAAGATGAGATCTTCACAGAAGAAGACTTTGACAGGGTAAATCGAAGCATCAGACAGCTTTTGAACTAAGGGTGTATTTCAGCCCTCTGCTGACTTGATATGAGAACACATCTGTGTCCACTTAATCCCTTTTATTTCTCCAGCTGGCTCCAACATGCAGTAGCTCTCTGGTGAACTCTATGAAGGCTGTGGAGAATCCAGTTTGTATGTGTGATCAAGTCTACACCCTTGTCCAGAGCCTCACCTCACAGATCCGCAAAAGACTCGAAGACCCCAAATCAGCAGGTGATTGCTCTGTGCTCACATCAAAAAAGAGAGAGAGAGAAAAACACTCTTTAAAAGGCCAAAAAGAGAAACCTGTGAAAAAACGATCTGAGTAAATGAGTTGGTGTTACCTCTCTCAGATTTACAGCTGTACCACAGTGAGACACTGGAGATGATGCTGCAGCGCTGGTCTAAATTGGAAAGGGACTTCCGCATGAAGAGCGGCCGCTACGACATCAGCAAGATTCCTGACATTTATGACTGTGTTAAGTATGATGTGCAGCACAACAGCTCTCTGGGCCTAGAGGACACACTGGAACTCTTCAAGCTCTCTCGAGCCCTAGCCAACATTGTCATACCACAGGTGTGTGAGGAAATTCTGAAACGTGAACTCGTACAAAACTCGTACAGGTTTGTTAGAATACTGATATTTCTCCAGCTATATTGGCTAGCACTAGCTATTACATTCTTTGGAGAGAAAAAAAAAAAACGTTCAGTTTAAATATTTTTTCACATATCACCCAGTCCTTGGACACCACAACAAAAAGTTAAATCTAGAAATTAATTAATTAATTTAAACCCTTCTAAGAATACAGTGTGTGCATAATTATAAGGGACTTTGATATTCTGATCATATTTGACCAATTCCAAACCACATCAGTCTTAATAACTACTATTAATTTTGTATTTAATTATTTATAAGTGATATATAATTGTACATGAAGGCTGGAAGTGAAAAACTCCTCATTATCAGGTGTGTAGACTTATTAGGCAGGTTTTCTTTTACAGGTAAAATGAGCCAAAAAAGAGATTTAACTCGGACTGAAAAGTCAAAAATTATTAAATGCCCATTAGAAATATGCAAAACTAATGCAATACAGAAATTGCAAGGTTAAGGCATGACCACTGGACAGCAAAATGCTCATTGGTTCAGCAGGGTTAGAAAAAAACAGGTGGAGAAGAAAAGACTGCAAAATAATTAATAATTAATGTATACCATCAGGAACAATTTAGTCTCCAGCGCCACCTTTTTCCAGAACTGCAACCTACATGGAGTTTCCATGGAGACTTTGCTTGGGTAAAGAATCCTAAAAAATGAACCATACTTAATAAGAATCAAAAGCTGAAGTGTTGTGAAATACATGAAGACTGATTTTTTTTAATAGGCTTTATAGACGGATAAGTTGATAGTGACTCTTTAAGGACCAGCACCACATCCTCTTTCTACCAGTGTCTGAAGAATTTATCTTCCAGAATCTGGCAGTAAGTTTTGGGAGCTCATTTTTAGTCAATCTCTGCAAGACAGACTTTTCAGGATAGGAGATGGACTAAAAAGGAACTCCCAAAACTTACAATTATATATCACTCATAAATGATTAAATACAAAATTAATAGCAGTTATTAAGGTTGGTGTGGTTTGGAATTGGTAAAATGTACTTGATGATCAGAATATCAACGTGCCTAATAATTATGCACGCAATGTATATTGACTCTTATCGACTAATAATCTGTGTTATTGTAGTATCATTGATATACTATTATAGTTTTTGTTAATATTTTGATGTAGATTTTATTTTAATATTTTCTGTTGTCATTTTAATTTTAGTAATTTTTTGTGTGTTTTTGTCATTTTTATTATTTAAAAAAATATGTTGATACATTTCATGAAGTTTTAGTTATTTTAGTTTTTCAACTGCACTATAACTGTCCTTCAAACTACTTTTTTAGGAGTACGGCATTAATAAGGTGGAGAAGTTGGATATTGCATATGCTTACTGTCTGCCTTTAGTGAAGAAGATTCAGCTTGACCTTCAGAGGACACATGAGGACGAGTCTGTAAACAAGCTGCATCCACTGTGAGATGCCCTGTTTTGTCATGCTCATCTCTTTCTCTCTTTTTGAAGATAGACTTTTCACTTATCTATCTCTTTGTGTCGCAGATATTCCCGTGGAGTGCTGTCACCAGGCAGGCATGTCCGAACTCGGCTGTATTTCACGAGTGAGAGTCATGTCCATTCCCTGCTTAGCATCTTCTGTTATGGTGGCCTATTGGATGTAAGCATAATAGAAATTAATATGTTTTAAATGTAATAAATTCCAACTTCATCATTACAGGTTTGTAATTACAACTATATTTAAATACATGACATACGAGTTTCAACAAAAATGGCATTAAAGTATATTTTAGTTTAACATAAATGCTTGTCAGTACATTCAGCAGTACACTGTAACTATAAGACAGGGGTGTCCAAACTCGGTCCTGAAGGGCCACTACTCTGCAGAGTTTAGCTCCAAGCCTCAACATACAGTACCTGCTTGGAAGTTTCTAGAATGCCTAGTAAGACCTTGATTAGGTGGTTCATGTGTGTTTAATTGGGGTTGGAACTAAACTCTGCTGGACAGTGGCCAGTGGATTGGGCACCCCTGCCATAAGACAATAAAAGTAATTATGAAATGACATATGTTGATGTACTTAAGTCCTACTTAAGTGGGCCAAAAAAGGTACATTTTTCATTTGAAGGCACAGTATGTAAGATATTTTTATTAAAATATCCAAAAACCACTAGAACAGTGTTATTATTTTCTCTGACTTGTGTACTTACATTATCCCAAATGTTTTGAAGAATGTTTAAATCCAGAGAAATAAGCAATTTTAACTAGTGACAGACCGTGTCCATAGTGTCACTGAGTCACCTGACAATGATGTCATAACCCTTCGATTTCCGGTTTTGTTTTGTAGAAAACATGGAAACACCAAATACGCTTTAATATGTTGTGCGTTTTAATAGACCGGTGACGGCCGCACAGAGTAGCATTATAACAGAACTTTCGAATGTATGTAGTATGATAAAACAGCACTGCTTTTTTTCCCCACATACGCACGACCGGAAGGAGCGGAAGTGGTTGACTGTGGCATAATAAAAGCTCCGCTGTTTTCGAGCCGTGTGTCACGCTCGTTCAGAGGCCTCGTGTCGCTTCGACGGCTTTCAGCCTCACCCTGCTTCATTCTACTACGTTAATAAATCATTAGCTCATCCATGAACATGATTTCTGCCCGAGTCCCGTCGGATTGCTTTGGCTGTAGGGATGAAGACGACAACTCCCATGACTCCACACTCAGTCACGGCGTCATCAAACTACGCCTTTGCCTCTTTGTTTATTTTGAATACGCGCCCTCTAGCGGCGAAAAATTACATATTGTGCCTTTAATATAAATTTTCCGTAAAAATACTCTTTTTAAATGTATTGTATGCTAATGTTTACTTCTTTTTCACAAGAGTAAAGAAGTACAAAAACTAGAGCAGATGTACAAATGCAAAAAATGTAAAAGAGAACAAAAACACTTTTTTAAGCTATTGTCTTTCACTGTGGTTTCAGTTAAGTGTTAAAGGATGCATGTGATGTTTCAGGAGGTGAAGGACCAGCAGTGGAAGAGAGCCATGGATTATCTGAGTGCAGTGACTGAGCTCAACTACATGACCCAGATTGTTATTATGCTCTATGAAGACAACAATAAGGTACATCCAGCTCTCACTGTTCGTTCTGCTCCTTTGAGGCACAGAATAAACATAAGTGAACTGTAATAACTGAGCTGCCCAATGTTTTATGGTTGAGTGGGGACTGTGCAGTCTCAACAGGGTACTTCAAAGAAATGTGACAATTGTGTTATTGTGTTAACTCAGGACCCATCCTCTGAAGAGCGCTTCCATGTGGAACTGCATTTCAGCCCTGGGGTCAAAGTATCTGAGGAGGAGAGCGCTCCAATGGGCTTTGGCTTCCGACCAGCCTCTGCTGAAGTATACAAACTTTCCTTTGTTCTGTGTTCTCATCATGTATTGCATTAGATTTTTATTCAGCTAATAATATCTAGGTTTATTTGCTGATATTTTCATGTCTTATGTTTGTGTGTGTTCACATAGAATGATCAGAAGCAAACAGACCCTGGTAGTTTGGAAAATCTCCTACGAGATGAGCCTGACCGCGCTTTGCCCCTTTCAGAGGCCATCAGCACCCAGAGGAAATCCCCTCTGATCCGGAATCGCAAGACTGGCTCCATGGAGGTATCACACTTAGCCACCTACTATGCCAACCACTGTACAGTGTGCTTTAAAAATACTTTTCTAAATCTCTGTGGTGTCAAACTGACAGAATCAGGCTGGGTTTTGTGTACTATGATTTAAAAGTGCTTCATTTGTGTGTGTGCACAGGTCCTGTCAGAAATCTCGTCCTCTAAAGGGGGCAGCTATCGCCTCTTCCCCTCCTGCTCACGTCAGTCTCCAGAGATGAAGCAGAGCGGATTAGGTTGGTATCGTGTGTCTGTCCCTCACTCAGCCTCAACAACTGTGCTTCATTCTACTACGTTAATAAATCATTAGCTCATCCATGAACATGATTTCTGCCCGAGTCCCGTCGGATTGCTTTGGCTGTAGGGATGAAGACGACAACTCCCATGACTCCACACTCAGTCACGGCGTCATCAAACTACGCCTTTGCCTCTTTGTTTATTTTGAATACGCGCCCTCTAGCGGCGAAAAATTACATATTGTGCCTTTAATATAAATTTTCCGTAAAAATACTCTTTTTAAATGTATTGTATGCTAATGTTTACTTCTTTTTCACAAGAGTAAAGAAGTACAAAAACTAGAGCAGATGTACAAATGCAAAAAATGTAAAAGAGAACAAAAACACTTTTTTAAGCTATTGTCTTTCACTGTGGTTTCAGTTAAGTGTTAAAGGATGCATGTGATGTTTCAGGAGGTGAAGGACCAGCAGTGGAAGAGAGCCATGGATTATCTGAGTGCAGTGACTGAGCTCAACTACATGACCCAGATTGTTATTATGCTCTATGAAGACAACAATAAGGTACATCCAGCTCTCACTGTTCGTTCTGCTCCTTTGAGGCACAGAATAAACATAAGTGAACTGTAATAACTGAGCTGCCCAATGTTTTATGGTTGAGTGGGGACTGTGCAGTCTCAACAGGGTACTTCAAAGAAATGTGACAATTGTGTTATTGTGTTAACTCAGGACCCATCCTCTGAAGAGCGCTTCCATGTGGAACTGCATTTCAGCCCTGGGGTCAAAGTATCTGAGGAGGAGAGCGCTCCAATGGGCTTTGGCTTCCGACCAGCCTCTGCTGAAGTATACAAACTTTCCTTTGTTCTGTGTTCTCATCATGTATTGCATTAGATTTTTATTCAGCTAATAATATCTAGGTTTATTTGCTGATATTTTCATGTCTTATGTTTGTGTGTGTTCACATAGAATGATCAGAAGCAAACAGACCCTGGTAGTTTGGAAAATCTCCTACGAGATGAGCCTGACCGCGCTTTGCCCCTTTCAGAGGCCATCAGCACCCAGAGGAAATCCCCTCTGATCCGGAATCGCAAGACTGGCTCCATGGAGGTATCACACTTAGCCACCTACTATGCCAACCACTGTACAGTGTGCTTTAAAAATACTTTTCTAAATCTCTGTGGTGTCAAACTGACAGAATCAGGCTGGGTTTTGTGTACTATGATTTAAAAGTGCTTCATTTGTGTGTGTGCACAGGTCCTGTCAGAAATCTCGTCCTCTAAAGGGGGCAGCTATCGCCTCTTCCCCTCCTGCTCACGTCAGTCTCCAGAGATGAAGCAGAGCGGATTAGGTTGGTATCGTGTGTCTGTCCCTCACTCAGCCTCAACAACTGCTGTTTATCTCTTCCCAGTGACAGGAAATCACCCTCTGAATCCAAAGCAACACTATATTGCATGATATTTCGGATGTAAAATCCATTAGCTGACTGCTTTCATTGGTGTTACCAGGGAAATTGGTGGATACACATTTTGGATCCAGACAGAGATGGAGTTTGTTGTATGGGAGTGGGATGCTGTTCATTTTTAGACATCTTGGAGTGATCATTCTGTGTTTCTGCTCTATTTAGAACTAGTGCTGTGATCTCTGATGACAGATTAGTTTGTTATCTTTACGCAAAGCAGTTACCTATGAAAGAAAGTTTTGCATGGAAAAAAACACATTTGACAATGGTGTAAATGAGCAAATAATCCTGCATGAAGTCAGAAGTATTTCATACCTAACTATCTGTAGATTTGAAATTATTAATTTGTGTAATTATATAGTAACTATCAATGACATGTGAACGCTGATGTTGACTAATACTCAGCATACTCATCTGCCAGTTCACTATATTTGTTTAGTTGTTGTATAGTTGTTTTTTTGGCTCATAATTGCTTCTAATTATGATGTAAAGTATTTACGTTAAACAACATCTCCCTGGCAAGAACATTGCTTCTGTCTTTTGTTAATTAGATTTTGCTCTACTAGCCATAATGGTTTTGGCATGAGTCATATATTATGACTTTATAATCCTCTCACTCCCTCTGCAGTGACTGCTGTGTTTTGATTAATAAGTGCATGTGGTTGGTGTGTACACTAATTCCATGATCTAACCCCCTCTGCAGGCTCTCAGTGCGCTGGTCTCTTCAGCACCACCGTCCTGGGGGGCTCATCTAGTGCCCCCAACCTTCAGGACTACGCACGCACACACCGCAAAAAATTCTCCTCGGGCAGTTTGAACTATAAAGACGGTATGTGCTCAGTTCAGCTCCTTTTCTAATAGAGATAATAGAGTTTAGAAGGTAGAAACTATAGTTGAAGGGCACTTCCTGTAAATGTGGGTAATGTAGGAGTTTAGGATTAAGTTGCATCAGGTCCTGATGGTGTATCACACATCTCGCTGTCATATTCATATTTCACGTCTGGTTCATTTTCATGGTCTTGGATGTGTGGTGTCCAGAATCTCGTGGAGTCTACAGTGCCATTCATTGTCTTTCAGAAATTATGTCTTTGTTTCTTGTCATTTGTCATATTTTGTGAGCAGTGTTTTATTTTTGACATCATTTATTGGAAACATATGTTTGTGTTCCACTGCAGGAATCCAAAAAAGTTTGAAGCAAAAACATGGTAAAAATTTTGATTTTGTGAGCAGCAAACTGAATATAATCTCTTGCCTTCCACTACATAAAGTTTTTTTTTGCTACATGATCACATCTTACAATTCAATCTCAGATACACCACCATTCAAAAGTTTGAGGTCTGTAAGATTTTTTTAATGTTTTTGAAAGAAGTCTCTTATGCACAGAAATTCAGTAAAAACAGTAATATTTTGAAATGTTACATGCATTATATTTTTTATTGTCTAGTATGTATTTCAAAAGTTAATGTATTCATTTTAAGGCAAAGCAGAATTTTTAGTAGTGTTCAGTGTCACATGATCCTTTAGAAATAACTCTAATAGGCTGATTTGGTGCTTAAGAAATATTCCTTATTACTATCAATGTTGAAAACGGTTGTGCTGCTTAATATTTTTGTGGAAACCTTGCTACATTTTTTTTTCAGGATTTGAAGAATAGAAAGTTCAAAAGAACATCATGTATATGCGATACATGATCTTTTGAATATTGTAAATGTCTTTACTGTCATGTTTGATCGATTCAGTGCATCCTTGCTGAATAAAAGTATGAATTTCTTTAAAAATATATTTTTGACCCCAGACTTTTGAACAGTAGTGTACGTATATTGCATTTGTATCACATCAATTTATTTGGTAACACTTTACAATAAGGTTCTATATGTTAAGACTAATTAATGCAGTAGCTAATATAAAATAATAAATAAGTTTACAGCATAATTAATCTAGAATTATCAATACATTTGTAACATTTCAAGTTTTTAACATTAACTAATGTACAGTATGAATTTGAATTTTGAATGAACAATTATCAATGACGTTAACCTAAACTAATATATACTGTAAAAATGACTGGTGATTGTTAGTCTTGATACGTAATGTTAATGAACTGAATCTTATTATGAAAGTGTTACCCATTATTTGGGTATTGAAATTATTACTAAATCTGATAAGTGGCCATTAGCTTTGGATTTCACCCTAATTTGAAATCTTACCTGAAATTGCATTGACAAATTGTCTCTCCGGTCCATGCACCGGAGTGCTCTCACATCCTCGAATCCTTCCAGAATGTTCAGTTTGTACACTCGTGGTGAAACCTTTTGTCCACAAGGTGTCAGTGTGACATTGTTTGGAGTCCTCCCTGTCTCAGTTCCCATTTCTTGTCTTGTTTTGTTTACTGCTGTTTTGCAGTTATAACTTTACTCTCTCATCTGTTGCTATCGTATACATGAGCCTGTTCATTTAACCGCATTAGCTTCAGTTAAAATCTCTGGCTGGTCTCTAGGACTGGCCGATCATCTAGCACAATCCCCAGTCTCTTTGTCTTCTTTGTCTTCACTGTTGTGTGTGGTTGTGTCCTGTGAAGGCATGTGCTGTTACACTACAGGCTCTCAGAGCTGCTTATATTACGGAAGCAAGGGGTCGATCGGACCATCTCCAGCTTTTCATGCTTCTGTCCACCATTTTGTTTGTTCTGAGAGATGACGTCTGATAAGATGACATCGGTATTTATATTAGAGAAGTGCCCAGAAAGTGACAAGCTGAAAATATTACCGCAGCTAAAGTGTTATAAATAGATCCACTAATTTACTGTGGCAACTCTGTGAAGACATTTAAGCAGTTAGGATAAAGATCTGTCCTCTTATTGTCATAAATATTTTTTATTTAAGAGTTTATTTTCTCTACCTGAGCTAGGAATAGCCTCAGTGAACCCATCTGTGAGATTAACATCTAACTTCCACATAATAAGGAATATTCTCACTCTTTAGCTAAAAGTATTTAGACACTAAACGCTGCTCTTCTGCTTTCTGTCTGTAGTCACAGTAGAAACCCAGCCTTACTCTCCTCACCCTACTATCCTTGACAGTCTCACACCTTCAGCTCTGTAACACCATCCCCATCCTCTACAGGTGTACTGTAAAATATGGTAACTCTAGTGACCTTTTTTATTTCCTCAGAGTTGTTGTCTATGCCGGCAGTAAAGCGATTTTCTGTGTCGTTTGCAAAGCATCCGACTAATGGTACGTCTGCTTCTCTTCAAGTATATTTCCACTTCTTCCACCTCCCTTTGTTTTGCATGTCAATGGAAAACTCTTTTCATTTTGGAACTTTTTCGTGGGTTTAGTTTTCTTCTGTTTTCACGTGTTTTCTGCCATGTTTCCTTCGACCTCCAGTTTCATCAACTTTTTAAAGGGGTCATATGATGTGATTTAAATTTTTCCTTTCTCTTTGGAGTGTTACAAGCTCTTGGTGCATAAAGAAGATCTGTAAAGTTGCAAAGACTAAAGTCTCAAATCCAAAGAGATATTCTTTATAAAAGTTAAGAGTCAGCCAGGCTCGTTCTAACATGCCCCCACATATCTACATCACTATGTGGGAAGATTTGCATAACGCCGCCCAAATGTTCACGCAAAGAAAGAAGGCGTAACTATTATTCTCACTGTAGTATTGTTGTTGCCGCCGCCGCCATGTCGTGAAGGCGCTGTGTGTTTTGTTGTGAAAGCGAAACTACTTTGTTTGGCCTTCCTAAAGAGGACGATATCGCTTCATCATGCCTAGAGCTGATCTGTGCTAGTCGCTGAGGAAATACATTAACTTCGAGCTGTGGATCGCCGGATCGGCTTTCTTCGTGGACGAAGCAGAGTCCAGCCAGGGGTCGTCACATGTGGTTGCCGCAAGCCCGCCGGACGCTCCTTCGTCGAATCCGCCGGCCGCCGCTCACTCTAGCCCCCCGGCCGTTCCTCACTAGCCGCCGCCGCTCACTCAAGGCCGCCGTGTGTGACGCTGTGTTTCGTTGTGAAAGCGAAACTACTTTGTTTGACCTTCCAAAAGAGGACACGGTTAGAAATCAGTGGTTAAGTTGTATTTATAACACTGTTCCAAAACACTTCAACCCAAATATCCAGATATTTATATATCCAATATCCAAAAATGTCCAGCACATTTTATGGATGACTGTTTCCTGACCCTCGCAGAGTAGACTACAATGCCGGCAGTTCTGACTCACAGACTGTAAGTACGTTTTTTTATATTTAAAGAATTTGCCACTGATGCTTCAAACGCGAGTTTTGGGCAGTGTAGAGTAGGGCTTGTTGTTTGTCATTTCTCTGATCACAAATGCAGACATGGTTTTATGTTTACGCGGCGATGCAATGCAATGTGTAAAAAGACAGTATAAGTCATTATAATCCTTAATTATGTCCCCACTGGATGCAACAAATGCCTAGTTTATAATGGGTTTTCATGTTTTTGAATCATCGCTCCGGCCTGACAGGGCATCATCACAATATGGTAAGGGGCGTAACATTTCCGTCACACGCTTGAGGTATTCGGCCAATCACAACGCACTGGATAGCTGGCCAATCACAACACACCTTGCTTTTCAGACCGATGAGCTTTGTAAAAATCGACGTGTTTCAGAAATGCGGGGCATAGAGGACAAACAATAATGTACAGTATGTGGACAATAATGTGGGTTTTTTTACCTTAAACCGCATTTCATTACACCAAATACACAAAATATTGTTCTTTTTAACAACATCATATGACCCCTTTAACCATTCAACAAAGTCTCAAACCCTTCCCATATACACCACTATCGCTATCTGTAGCCTCCTGCGGACAACTCTCACTCTCACCCAGTGACTCAGTGTTAATCAGTTACGGATGACTGTGTGAATGAGTTTAAGCACGTGTTTGTTTCCTGTGATTGTATGTGCACAAGTCTGTGGGAAGGTGGGTGTATTCCACTGCAAAAAATCATGATCTTAATCAGTATTTTTGTCTTCTTTTACATTTGGGAAGCAAAATTAAATAAGATACTGTACACTACTGTTCAAAAGTTTGGGGTCAGTAGATTTTTTCTATTTTTTGATCGATTGAATGCATTCGTGCTGAATAAAAGTGATAGTAAAGACCTTTATAATGTTACAAAAGATTTTTATTTCAAATAAATGCTGTCCTGTTAAACTTTCTGTTCATAAAGTAATCCTAAAATTGTATCATAGTTTCCACAAAAATATTACGCAGCATAATCTCAGTGTTAATAATAAGAAATGTTACTCGAGAACCAATTTCCAGATTTCTGAAGGATCATGGGAGATACAAGAATGAAATGATGGCTGCTGAAAATAAATGACATTTTATGATATAAAAAAGAAAAGAGCTGTTTTAAATTGTAATAATATTTCACAATATTTTTGTATTTTTGATCAAATAAATGCAGCCTCGGTGACCATAATAACCCTTAAAAACATGAAAAAATATTTCTAATCCAAACTTTTGAACAGTAGTATGTGTCAGAAAGAATATATTTAATTTAATTAATTTGTTAAAAACAATTTGACAGCGCACTGTGAAAAATATGCTAATTCAAGATATATTTTTTGCAAACAAGTTGTAATGTTTTATTGAAATATTGTAATTAGATTTAGCTTGTAATATAAGGATGTTTTGATATTCCTGTTGAAAAAGTACAAATACTACTTATTAAGATCTTAGGACCCTTCCCTTGTCAACAGTTGTCATTGCTCTGGTACTGTTGGACAGTGTTTTTCACTGTATTTAACTGTAGCAGAAAGTCAGTGTTCACAGGGAAGTGGTTCACCTGTCACCCTTTTACTCCATTAATCTTCTCCAATTTTATTTAAAATGAATGTTGTTGTGAATTGTAATTATGTTAAATGTTGAGCTATGCAGCCAAGGAGTGTTTTACTCTGTTTCCCCTTGATTCTTCATGAGAAGCAGCTTAAAATCTAAAATGCCACAAATGACAAAGACTTCTTTCAAATTGAAATTGTGCGCATCTTCAGTCTATGTGAATAAAACAACCTACCACACTTGCAGATACAGATTAACTAGCCGGTGTCTTTTGTGGTTCTCTACACTTCATTGATAGACACATGTGCTGTGTATAAACTGCATGTTGATGTTATATGGGTTAAGATTATCAGTGTTTTCTCTTTCGGTCTTGCATATGTTGTGAGGATGAAGAAGATGTCCGGAGATGTTGTCTAGCATAAACAAACCTGAATGGAGGTGATAACAAAGGTCAAGAGCAATGCATAAGAACCGCTTGTGAAGTGATGTGAATTACTGCAGTGTGTTATGTACTGTAGGTATATTTGGACACAGTTCTGTATGTGTTCAGTACATCTCAGGCAGAGCTTAAAGATGGTCCCTGATCCACCTACGCAATCCCCATTCCCTGCCAGATCCCACACACTCTACCCACCACACATTCCAAGCCATCCAGCTCTCAAAACCTTTTATGTTTTGAAATTGTTTCTTCAGTTAAGAAATATTCTTTCCCTTTATGTCTCTGAAATGAGTGCATATACTCTTTAAACAAATTCAGTTCATTCAGCCTAATTATTACATTTTTGTGTTTTCCTGGTAAAGTGTGCGCATATACGGGTCAGGTGGGGATCAAATGTCTCCACGAAGATAGTAAAACCTGTAATCATCTACATTGTGGGCGCCTCCCAATGGTACACATGATGAAACGGCTTAATAAAGAGACTGTATAATGTCTTAATTAAAATCTAAAAAAGCCAAAAGGTTTCTGCATGGAGTAGGTGTAGAGTAGGGTGTAGCAAATATAATTAACTAACTTAATATAAACTGAAAATACACGGCTTGATATAAAAACAAATATGTGTGTATGTGTTGGACGCATTGGTTATGATTTAAAGACAAATACTCTTAATCTGCAACTTTTACAACAAAACTGTACAAATAGAATAATTCATTTTGTAATATTTTCAAATTATTGAAATAAGTAATCATTTAATTTTTTTTATTAAATAATTCAATATTCTAATGAAGTATCAATTAGTATTTGTAACAATCAGCAAAACTACCAAAAGTGGTGGTTAACTAATGGCCTTTACATTTGCTTTCAAAAGTTTGGGGTCAGTAAGATTAAGTCTTTTATTCTCACCAAGGCTGTATTTATTTGATCGAAGTACTGTAAAAACAGTAATATTATTACAGTTTAAAGTAAATGTTTTCTGTTGTAATATACTTTAAAATATATATATTTTTAAAATCCTGTCATGTTAAAGCTCTGTAAATTTACAGCAGCCATTAATATTCTGAATTGGTGCTCAAGAAACATTTCTTATTATTATCAATGTTGTGCTGCTTAATATTTTTGTAGAAACACAATTTGTCAGGATTCTTTGATAAATAGAAAGTTTAAAAGAACAGCATTTATTTGAATTAGTCATCTTTTTTAATATTATAAATGTCTTTACTATCAAGTTTGGTCAATTGAATGGATCCTTGCTGAATAAAAGTATTTCTTTTAAAGTAAAAATTTCCTACTGACCCCAAAGTTTTTTGTGTAGTCTACTCGTAGTGTAGTCTAATAGGGGTGTGATGTTTGACTCCTCTGAGCACTTTATTCACTTTAGGCACACAGGATGACACTTCTGCCACGGCGATTCAACCACCTGTATGTGGTCTGACTCCAGTAATGATAGATCTTTGTCCCACCGCAGCTTTAATTCAATCAGGTCGATTGAGTTAGTCGACTGGGCCTAACTACACAGTGTCCATATGCACGCTTAAGGAAAAATAGATTTGTTTTGAAGTTCTAGATGTCAGTGTGGGTATGTAGACCATTTCTGTGTATAGTTTAGTGACTTCCTTGAATCCCTTGTGGTCTTGTGACTTATTCAATGGATGTTGACCCCAGGAGAAGCTACTGTTTCCTCTGCACAGTACATTGTTTGTGAATGAAGGCTGTGGACTACAACGGACTTAAGATATGCTGTGTGTCTGCTTGGGATTATCTGCTGGTGACCAATCGCTCAGGCTAACTCGCCTTTATTTAGGCGTGTTTAAATGTGGAGAAGTGTCAAACCCTTGTGAGACCTGTTGTGGGGAGTTTTTCTGAGAGCATGCTAAGTAATGAAGCGGTAATCACTGCACTATGTCCCCATGAGAACCCCATGCCCTCACCCATCTGCTTTTCAAACCCCCTACTCCCCACTCTTCTCTTCCCTGCTCTGCCTCTTCTTCCTCAGAACCCCTGGAAGAGCACCAGGTAGCCCAGCTGCTGAGGCACTTTTCCACCGACCCCAATATTGGCCACCCGTTCTGTTTGGACAGTGCTTTTGCCCACCACCTCCATCAGTGCTCCTACCATCTCCGCCTCTTCCGCAACTGGTTAATCTCTGGCCAGGACCCACTAGAGTACCTCTACGGTCAGCCCTGGGGAGGTCCCTCCGTGTCCTGCTGTGCCGTGACTGCAGTAATGGCCGCTACCACAGCCACCTTAGCTTTGCTCTATAGCGCCTCTGCTGTTTAAAGCATGTTTGTGTTTTTGGGAAAAGCAGCTTGCAATGACACGGTTCTGATTTTTTCTTTCTTTTTTTAACATATTGAAGTTTATGTAGAATGTATTTTTTAGTGATATTAGGTAAATACAAAACAATCGTGATTAATCTTGAGTTTTGAGTTTAACAAAAAAAATTTAATTTAAAATATATACATTTTAATATTTTAAAATTTTAATTTCCTTTAATTCACCTAATAAGTTGTTTTCTTTTTTGTATGTACAACACCGTTTAAATATTTGGGGTCAGTAAGGTTTTACTTATTTATTTTAAGAAATTTAAACAAATCAAATGTGTCAAAGTATTTCTTATTGTTCTATTTAAAAAAAGTTAAACAATAAAATAAACTTTCCATTCATCAAACAATCCTGAAAAAAGTATCAGTTAAATATTAAGCAGCAAAACTGTTTTCAACATTGGTAATAATAGGAAATGTTTCTGGAGGACCAAATTAGCAAATGTGACACTGAAGACTGGAGTAATAGCTGCTGGAAATTCAGCTTTGCCATCACAGGAATAAATTACTTTTTAAAATATATTAAAATTGAAAACGGTGATTTTAAATTGTAATAATATTTCACAATATTGCTGTTTTTACAGTACTTATGATCAAATAAATACAGAATTGGTGAGCAAAATAGATGTAAAAAAATAATAATAATCTTACCAGCCTCAAACTATTGAATGGTAGTGTAGTACTTTCAGTTCCTCTCGTAATAAAAGAAAACAAAATAATTTACAAAAAAAGGTTTTTACCTCTTAGGTGATATTTCAGGCTTTTTGAGAGAAATTAAACTCTTCAAATATTTATATTTATTAATATGTCAAATTCAGTGCTCTGTGCAGAAGATGTTGGAGTGGCATTAAGAGTGATCTGTCACTGCTGTGTGTTGGGGTGTGTAGTGTGGCAGATGCATGCCAGTGGCATCTGATTGCAACTGTGTCAGCTTACAGTCACATCGGCTCTCTGACGTGTCAATTGCATGATAGTGGCATATGATTTGCATGCCACAGGCTTCCAGTGATTTGAAAAATAAAACATTGTAATTCTCTCTTCCAAATGTGATTTTTCAGTTTTCACTTTTTTCATCAATAATTAATTAAACCTCTATTACTTCATACATAATCACACATGCACATTATGTTATTATTTGGATTTTTTTATTACATTCTCCAGAATCCAGGGTCATTTTCATAAGTAATAGTCATAAGTGATGCATTGCCATCTTTTATAAAATTCATGCTCTGATTACAAGATGATTCACAAGTGCAGTTCTCACATTCATTCCTGTTTTTATTATTATTATTATTGTCTCGGCCAGCTCCCTCCTAATTTATGGGTGTTGCTTTAATCTACATTAAGAGTGTGGTTTTTCAACTAAAAGAAGTGCATAGAGACTAACAACTAATTAAAGGAACTTTTTGGTTTTACTTGAAGTTGTGTGTGAGTGTGACATTACTACTAATTGTATACCTTTTAAATGTAGATTTAGATTTCCTATGTAATACACAACAAGTCTCGAATGAATGATGTGGTGTGTTCTCAAATGTCTCGAATGAAGAGGATGTGGTGGGTTTGTTTGTGTGCGTGTATTGTGTATCTGAATGTTTCTCGCCCGTGACTGTGGTTCTGTCACTAACAAGGGTTTGGCAGTAGGTGGAATGACTATTGACACGGGTTCGGTGGTAATAGACTGCTGTGTCACTCTGGGTGCATACTGATGTCTGGATAGAGGACTGTCTTCTCTCATCACTTCTCCCATCTGCAGGTTTTGAAGGCTGCTCCATGGTGCCCTCCATCTACCCCCTGGAGACCCTCCACAACTCACTCTCACTCAAGCAAGTGAATGAGTTCCTGACGACTGTGTGTGAGAATGCAGGAGATTCCCACACCAGGACAACCAGAGGTAATGCCCATAGCACCACTCTAACATTAGGACAATTTTAAGTCAGTCTTTGAAATATAATGCACCAGTGTCCTAACTGTATGTGTGTATGCCTCCCCTCCTGTAGCTCTCTCAGCCATGTTTGACTCCCAGAACCAGCCCGCAGGGGACTCTTACATCCCTCACAGAGTGCTGTCCTCCTCTGTTTCACTGCGCCAGCGCTCTGATCGGCCACCCTGGTGTGAGTACTGCTGCCCTTAGCTACTTCACATGGAGAAAACTCTCCATATGTTATGTTGGATGGATCAGATGTACAATTGATATTTAAGTTGTAACAAATAACAGTGCAATTGCAAGCTAAATTCATGAATTTGTATGTTGATATAATCATGCCTTCAACAAAGTAACAAGGTTGACAGTAAAGGGGTTTTTGTGCTATTTATACAAACTTTTCAGTTATCAGTTGTTTACTATGCCGAAGTATGGTCACATTTTAACCACAACAGTAAAGTGGTGAAAAATATGAGGCTATAACTTGTGTTGAAGCCTTGTGAAAAGAAGTCAACTTCAGTGTATTGAATGGGCACTTGTAGTGTACTTCAAATCTGAACAGTATATTTAAAAAACTGTTCTTGCAGATAATGCAGTATTAATGAAATAAAAAGTCTACTGAAGTCTGCTTACAGAAAGTACACTTTCCTGACTGTGTGTAAAAGTGTGCGTAATGTTTATTTTAATTCATTATGTTTTATTAATCTTTTGACAGGCTTTAAAGAAGTACACTTATTTTGTTTGCTAACATACTAAGGCACATGTAAAGTGCTTGATTATAATTTTAACTAGTGCGTTGTTTTGATATTACATTTAAAGATAATATATTTTAAAAGTACCAACTTGAAGCTTCATTACTAATTTATAATTACAAATATATTTAAATACATGACATATGTTTCAATTGACATTACAGTATATTCTACTTTACCATAATTGCTTATCAGTGCAGCATGTTTTATAGACAACAGAATTATGAAATTACATAAGTTGTACTTAAGTCCTACTTTAGTGGTTCAAAAAAGCACTCTAAAGTCCAACTAATTGCATTTAATGTACATTTAAATGGTCACACTTTATTTTAAAGTCCAATTCTCACTATTAACAAACCATTAACTATGACTTGCCTCAATAAACTCCTAATTTGCTGCTTATTAATAGTTAAGGACGGTAGTTGTTAAGTTTAGGTACTGGGGGGGGGATTAGGGATGTAGAATATGGTCATAATAAACAGCCAATATGTTAATAATAGGCATGCTAATAAGCAACTTGTTAATAGTGAGAATTGGTCCTTAAACTAAAGTGTTACCATTTAAACTATAATACATTTTCATTTATTTGCAGTTAGCATGCAATTAAGTGTCCTATGTTACATTCAGTTCGCACTACATTCAACTACATTAAAACGTATATAATTTCTTTAAGAAGTATTCTTTTTAATAGTACTGTATGCTAAATTGTGTCTTTTTCACAAGGTAGGATTACAGAGTCCCTGCTGACTTTCAAAAGAGAAAACGTGATAATTGACAAGCCAATATGTGTCACAACTTTAAGTCATTTTAATAATACAATATGGTCACTAAAATACACAAAAATACAAATAGAAAAAATGCTAGTTCTTAATTTTCATATATTTTTAAATCGAAATGTTTATATTTGCTATTACAGCAAAAAGCAGTGAAAAATAGGCAAAAAAAGGCATTCTCATGATGATAGAAATATTTTTTTTTTACATTTTTGTCGATGCATTTAGAAGAAGGTCTATAGTAACACAGAAAAAGTTGGCATAAACAATTCATTGTTAAAGTAATTTTTACACACACACACACACACACACACACACGAGAGACAAATGGCACCTCTTTTGCAAAATGAGCCAAATAATATGTGTGTGTATTTCTCCGTGCAGACAGCAGTGGTCCCTCCAGTACGGTGTCAAGCGCCGGCCCCTCGTCTCCCACAACGGCTGACACCTCCCCACGCTTCAGCTTCAGTGAGAAGATCACCCTCACACCGCAGAGCAGCGAGGAGATCCACCCGGCCCCTCACAACAGCCACTGTGTGTCCTCCACATCTGAAACCAGCCTCCCCTCTGAGGATCCCCACCCGTCAATACCATCCCCCATCCTGGAGAGACCCAGTGAAATAGCAGTGGACAGCACAGACCCTGCAGTCCAGTGTCTTACAGAGAGCCCCTGCTGTGATGAAGCACCAAGTCCGGCCCCCGCCGAGCCCAGCTCGCACTTGCCCGACAGTCCGCCAACAGAGTCCTTCTGTAGGCTGTCCGGTTCCTTGCCTGTGCTCCTGGAGCTCAGAGAGAGCAGCTCAGAGGCCGGCTCCAGCGCCCAGACCCCGCTCACTCCTGAGGAGCCGGATGAGTTCTTTGATGCACAGGAAACGGTCGACGTGTGGAGGGGAAGCCCGGCGACCCTTCCTCACCCTGGCACTCCTCTAGAGGTGGGAGCTCCACATGTGCCTGAGCCGTGAAGGAGACACAGACCAGGCAGCACCCTCATACATGTGTCCTTCACCCCGTCTCAGCATGCTCTCGCTGTAGTGCCTCAGACCTTCATAATGAGTCAAAGTGGGATTTGCCAACGTCATTTAAGGGAAGTTGAGGAAACGGAGGCCCACTTGTTGAACACAAAGCGCAAATGCTCATGTTGGAAATCTTAATAAACTCTCCATGTGTTTAATTCCGTAGTGTCGTTCAGAGATACTTCGTGTGTAACGTGTCACTCTAGTCCAGGGGTGTCAGTCCTGGAGAGCCTTCCTCTAGTCCAGAACGTCAGTCCTGGAGAGCCGCAGCCCTGCAGAGTTTTGCTTCAACCCTAATCAAACACACCTGAACAAGCTAATCAAGGTCTGAAGGGTTACTAGAAAGCTACAGGCAGGTGAGTTTTAATTAGGGTTGGAGCTGTACTCTGCAGGGCTGCGGCTCTCCAGGACCGGAGTTCGCCACCGCTGATCTAGTCAAATGGCCAGTGATCAAACATAAGCTGTTAGATGCACTGAAACATTTTTATGTGCACATATTATCTTCCTCATCTCCGAACGACTGCATTTTTCTTCATTAGCTGGTCTGGAAGATATTTTTCAAAGGGACGTTATATTTGATATCAGTCAAGCTGAACTCTAGCTAAATGAATATTAAAGGGATAGTTGCCCAAAAATCGTCATCAATTACTCACCTTCACGTCATTCAAAAACCCATCAAGTTTCATTCATCTTTGAAACGCAAGTGAAGATGTTTTTAATGAAACCTGAGAGATTTCTGTCCCTCCATGGAAAGTTCATTCCACCAAAGCTTTGATGCTTCAAAATATTCATAAAGACATTCTAAAAGTAATTCATATAAATTGAGTGGTGTAATCCAAGTCCTGTGAAGAGACTTTTTGATGAACAGATATACTTTAGGCTTTTATTCACATATTAACATTGATCAACATAAATAAACAGAGCACATCAAATATGGTAAATGCAAGCTCAGAAGATCATGTCATACAAGCATGTTTGAGCTTTCATTTATCATGTTTGATGTGCTCTGTGTATGTGTTGTTCAGTCTATAACAGCCTAAATGAAATCTCTTCATTATATAAAGTGATCATGTCTCTAGAAGACTAGGATTAAACTGCTTATTTCTTTTACAATGTCTTCATGAGCTTTTAAAATGTCTAAAGTTTTGGGAGAATGGACTTTCAATAGAGCGACAAAAATCTCTTAGGTTTCATTAAAAATATGTTTATTTGTGTTTTCGAAGATGAACGAGAAAGTCTTACAGATCTGTAACGACATGAGGGTGAGTAAATGATGAAAGAATTGTAATTTTTGAGTGAACTATCCCTTTAAATGAACGCTAACCATTTTATTACTATTTGCCAAAGCTTGCTGTACCACTGTCATAATTTATTACATCATTATAAAATACATATATATTTATTGACTAATATGCAGTTTACTTTTAACAATGAGACTGCAAACGAACAAGTCTCATTTTTTATATTTTAGTTTTTATTTTTGTAAATCATACAGTGCTGTCACGGTTTTAAATAATAGTGGTCTTCATTTCAATTACATTTGTCCTGCTTTGTACTGCTCACCTTTTTGACATTGAAGTACTTTTTTTGTACCATGAACCCTCCTGTTTGATCAAATGAAGAGTGCGGTGTGATTTTTTTCTTTCTTTTTCAGTATACAGTAAAGAGAGAGTGAGAGATGCTGCTGCTTTTCACAAAACACATACTGCACTGTTTTTCTGTTGATCTGAACTCGGAAAATCTGAACGTTGTTTACCGAGCATGCAGAAAATGTGTAAAAGTAACTGACTCCCACTGACCTAGGACCAGCTTGTAAGACCTCTAGAATCTAGAGAGGAGCATTTCTCTTCCCCCTCCAGCAGCAGCAGCGTCTGTGAATGACTCCACTCCGCTCGGAGGACAGCGAAGCACACCGTTTCTGAAATCACTGACACATTAAAGCATCTGCCTCGGAGAGATTCAACCCTAACGTGTCGTACTGTTGGTGCTGTATGCCGTCTTTGCAGTAGTATTAAATGGCACTTTGATTTACTGTGTTTCAAATACAAGTGGCATTGTCTACAGAAAGCAGTTGTCTTTTTATCATTTCTTGTGTGTGAATTACACTGATTAGATTAAAAAAGACTAGATTATTCTGTAATGTACAATTGGACTTTCCGTAATCGTTAAAAAAAGTTTATTTTCCTCACTAAAGCTTGGCATTTCCATATTTTCAAAACTTAATTTGCTGTCTGTATAAGTGTACGCTTGCATAAGCGTTATTATCTCTAACGGTTATTCATCCTCATACTCGTTGGCATGACAACGAGGTTCTTATCATTCATCACCTGGAGGGTTTTCATCCTGTAAACCGCAACTGTCCTACGACACACAGCTTCAACAAGACAGAGTAAACAATCATCAGAGCATCAAACATTTGATAATACATCTGAATTCAAGTCCCGCCGCCAACCATAATCCAAAATGTTTGTGTTTCCATAAGATTAGGATCATTGAACAGTGGGGCATTGTCAGCATTGCCTGCTGCTGTGCCAAGCACTGCGTTCGGTTTTCTTCAACACAAGGCCATTGTTCATTTCCATGCCTTCTCTCTCAGAAACGAACAGGGAGGGGAAGCTGTTTTTATACAGTCTATGGTACTAACAGATAATAGGCATGTGACCTAGACAGTGCTGTCAGCCGCTGCCAGATCTCGACACTGGAATGTTACTGTGATACACTGATCCTCCATTCTCTCAAACCTTTCGATCATCTAGAATAAATGAACCCCTTTTGTGTGAATGTATTAATTTTAGAGTGTTTTAATATTATTCTACAAATCAAATCGACTCCTTTCAGGCTTGAAATCCAAATAAGAGTGTATTCGATTTTAGTTTTTTAGATTATGTGGAGATAATATCGAGTGTTTTTGTCACACTGTATTGCACATAAGATGTGCCAGGGTTTTTATAGTTAAGCATAAAAAACGTTTTTTTTTTTTTTTTTTTTTTTAAATAAACATTAAATAAATATTATAAAAAACTTCCAACTTATTTGATTTCAGCTAGCTGCAAAGGAAACATCCAAGTTTCATTTAAACTTGATGTAGTAAAATAACTCAAACTAAAAACTAAATAGACATTAAAAAACAAAAAAAGTAAAAATCACTAAAACTTTAAAATTAAAACGAAAAAAAAAAAATATCAATAAAAATAAAAAAACTATCCAAAACATGAATATAATATATAATCTATAATAGAGGTCTCAATAAAACTAAAATAACACTGACAAGTAACAAACTATATCATATTTGGCATATGTCCTTTTGGTCCTACTTTATATTAAGGGTCGCTTAATACTATGCACCTAATAATAAAATAAAGAATTGATAGGTACAATTGAGGTGGGATACAGGAAAGATTAGGGGCAGGTTTGGTTAGGGCCAACAGTGTAATTATCGATGTAACTACAGAAATGAATTTCAGTTGTGATTGCAGGATGGTGTTTTCAAATAAGTACAACGTAAAAACATGTATGTAACACAATAAGTGCATTGTATCAATTAATTAATTTAGGCCTACACACCATATTTAAGGGCGCCTGATATAAAGTGGGTCCCTACATTTTTATATTGCTTTTATCTGTACTCTCATATTTGAGTTTCATTAGAGACATTTCATGATTCGTTGACAGCTGGCTCAATGAAAGGCAAAAACTGGTTGATGTTTCTCATTAACATATTTTATTAGTGATTATCAGGTTTACCTTTCTACAACATATTTGTAGACACTCATTTAGAGAGCTTAAAGAAAGATACAGCGGATCGCACATAAAAAAAAGAGAAAAAATGAAAGCAAAGGTCCTGAAAATATGAAAAATTACACATAATTTTTATTAACAACACTGCACGCTGGAAATGAGAGCGCGGTCTGGTTATATGTGCCTTTCAGTACAATTGAGACAATTATCATTTAAATATATGTTTAAAATAGTACTTTATTTAATATAACTATGAACTATTACATACCAGTTGAAACTTAAGATCACATGCATTAAACAGCTAGGCTCAATGGAATGCTATATTTTGATGCTATTAAGATGGCAAACTCAACATTGCAACTAAGGGATGTTTTGCACAGCACATCATGACTATTTTATTTTTAAAATCTTTTGAAACATTTAGTCTTCATCTTCAAAAAGAAAGAAAGAAAGAAAGTAAATATAATCACACGGACACTTACAAATCTTGAATATAAAATGCGATCAGTGATCTAGTCACTTGATCTGGCAGTCTGGTACGTGTTTGTGTTTGTTGATTTCTGTGGTACTGCGGAGTCACATCTGGGTTTCACCAAGTCAGCAGCACAGCCAAATAACCAGTAGCTCAAAAGTTACAGCACCTTAAAAACATTAGAGGCAAATATTAAACGTGAATCCTCATACATTATAAAGGATTATGCTGAACCATATTCTGCCCTGTTGTAAATACGGCTTAGCAAATCTCTGGACTTTTCTCTAGAGATGAAGGACAACAATCAAATCTTACAGACCAATGAACAAGACTATGAAACAGAAATTAAATCATCTTCAAACTTAAGATCACATGCATTAAACAGCTAGGCTCAATGGAATGCTATATTTTGATGCTATTAAGATGGCAAACTCAACATTGCAACTAAGGGATGTTTTGCACAGCACATTATTTTTTAAATCTTTTGAAACATTTCGTCTTCATCTTCAAAAAGAAAGAAAGAAAGAAAGTAAATATAATCACACGGACACTTACAAATCTTGAATATAAAATGCGATCAGTGATCTAGTCACTTGATCTGGCAGTCTGGTACGTGTTTGTGTTTGTTGATTTCTGTGGTACTGCGGAGTCACATCTGGGTTTCACCAAGTCAGCAGCACAGCCAAATAACCAGTAGCTCAAAAGTTACAGCACCTTAAAAACATTAGAGGCAAATATTAAACGTGAATCCTCATACATTATAAAGGATTATGCTGAACCATATTCTGCCCTGTTGTAAATACGGCTTAGCAAATCTCTGGACTTTTCTCTAGAGATGAAGGACAACAATCAAATCTTACAGACCAATGAACAAGACTATGAAACAGAAATTAAATCATCTTGTGAAAAGCATGAAGATTATAGCTACATTTAGACTCAAATGCAACTGAAAAAAAGTTCATTTTCATTTATAACTTTCCTTCTTTAATAAAAGAGTTAAGCCAAGCACCTAAAAGCATAGCAGTACTCAAATGCATGTTCTACCTTATGGTAATATACATGCAATGCATACAGTACTTTTACAGAGTTTTCTATTCATCAGACGATGGTACACAATCATCATCCTGCTCTGTGACAAGAGCTTAAACCAGCACTATCATTCATTTTAAGCCTTACATGTTACACTTCTGACAATACACAAAGAACAATTTCATGACAGCATGTTTTCTACTATCCATTACTGCAAATTCGGACTAAACAGACTGAAGTAGACAACTTGCTTTGTGTCTTTGAATTCACTTTTATATTTCAAAATGTAATCTATATCCTCATCGTATATTGACTGGAAAATAAGAACTCTTGCAAATTAAGATTAAGGTTTATGTCCCATATAAAAGCCGAAATGTGCTTTGAACAACTTAAAACACACTATAACATGTTTGGAATAGGTTGAAGTGCAGTATCCATGGTGCAGTATCTTTCATGTAACCCTGCACAAAAACAGAGAAATGACTTTCCATGTCCATACATAGATTATTCACTGAACACCATGCACTTCTATTGCTGGAAACGTTAGCTTACATATGTATTCTCAGTCATCCTTTCTTTCCATTCCTTTACAGTAAGCAGATTTGTCCTATTTACATTTTATAACCAATAGAAATCAAGGGGAAATCGTTACAAGGTGCTAATGAATATCATGGATTTTCTTCCAAACTGAATCAAATCAGTAATAAAACATATCTGAACTTCATAAGCACTAAAAATAATAATAAACTCTGAGAACATACACTTTATACATCATTTAATGACAAAATACGATTTGATTCCACTCTTATTCAGCGTTGACAATAAACGTACCATCTAAACATCAGTTTTCAGAATCTGTTTAAAAACGGAATTTTGTCCTGATCTAGTAGCAATATATTATTTTTGTTATTATCACTTTTAACATTGTTGTTGATGCCATCATTCCACTATACAAATCGAAAGCATTCATCTCGGAGTTGGGAATGTAAAGTAATTTGTGCATAACACCATCTCCAGCGTATGTATCTTAATTGATAGAATTGTTAAAATCTTATTAGTTTACTAAATTCCTATTTCTGAAATACTTGCACCCAGGTATTTGTTCATCTCTCTGCTGAGGTATATAGCCTCAATTGCTATTTGCACAGTAGCTATCTTGAATGTGTGATAACTTGATTAGTAGATGATTATCGTGTATATAGTGCGTGTATGTGTGAAGCAATGAAAGAGGATCTTGCAGGATGTGTAACTCAGGGCCTCAAAGCAACAGTACCATTGATGAACTAATCAGGAGAATCTCATCTAGTTTAGCTGCACTATTATGGAATTTCTGGTGTTTATGTTCAAAAGTAAGTGAAGAGGTATACTTGTGCTTTAGATGCCATTGTAAACAAGGTATCTACTATATAGATAGACTAACTTTGTTATTGTATTTAGCACATTCATTTGGTAACCTTGGTCAGTATAAAATTACAACTGGGAATGTAACCATGAAAACTAGTTCAAACAGGCCCTGGACCAAAATCTAAGGGTTAATCATTTTAGAGACCCATTTACTGCATGTATGTATGTATTGTACAACGTAAAGGGAAAAGCCACCCTGAAAAGTATATAGTGAAAGGCACGTCTTCCTTCGGTTCTCCTGCACTCTAGTAACTTTCATTACCAAGAAATAATAATCAAAATTCATACCATTTGACTGGGTTTTTTGGGCAATCGACACTATGTGTGGGAAGTTTAAAAGCAAAAGGTTAAGAATTTTACACTGAGTAAACTACAATTAAGGCTGTAACGGACCATTTGAGAGTAAAGATGTGAACCTGGGAGCCATGTTGAATTTAGAACTCTATTTTGCAGGCTGGGAATGACTCGTCTTGCATCACAACAGTGCTGCTGCTGGCCAGGACCATGATGTTCAGCTCCTGTTGCTTCTCATGGGTCTGCTGATACCATTCGCGGGTCACTTCTGTGTCATGAGTAGGTATCAATGTTACCTACAAATAGGACAGAGTAAGACATTAATATATACTATGACATTAATGCATAATGGCTTTTTTGAACCATTTCAAATCTTCAGTGAAACTGAAACTGACTGTAAATAAAAAATTAATGAATTAATTACCAAAATATTTATATGCATAGCATCTATAAAATATCCAGCAAATTACAATGATCCAATGTTGACATCTACCACAGAGAGAGCAATTAACGAATATTATACCAGGGTTTCTACAGACATGAACTAGTTAAATGTAAGACTTTTTAAGACTTTTTTAATACCACCTTAAATGAAATTTAAGACCTAAACCTGTAATGGAAATACACATTTTATTACATACATATATGTAATATTTAATGTGCATATTTACCTTTACAAAGGCCCATTTTAACCTTTTTAGATGTATGCATCATTTTACATGTCAAATTATTACAATTTATCAATAAATTCAATATACACTATAGGGCTGCTACCAGTCAGATTAAATAATTTACACTGCAATAAATAATGTTATGAGATTAATGTTTTCAATGCATTTATGAATATACAAATAAGAAATGTTGAGGGGAAAAATGCATACTTTTCAACATACTTCTCAACTAAACTACCAGTGACGGTAAGTCACTTAATGATTGAGTCATTGAGTCATTCATTCAACTGATTGAGTGTGCTATCACGCTGGTATCTTAAGGACATTCGTGGACAGCTGACTCCTAAAGTTTTTGATATTCTTGATATTTTGTGTGATGGTCAAATAGAAATTAATCTTTTCCAGTAAGTTTAAATAGATTTTTTTTACCTTTTATGGGCTTTTTACCTTTATAAAGCCATTTTTCTATAAGTGTGCATTATCTTTTGAGTCAAATTCTTACATTTAATCAGTGAATTAGAATAATAAGACATTTGGGCTGTTACCAAGCAAATTAAATCAGTATCAACCAAATTCATCTTTGCAATCCAGACATAAGCTGCACCTGAATTGGCATTTAGAAGTAGGCTATTTACACACTGTTTAATGCAGAACATGAATGCATTTAACCTGCAGTTACAAATGCATAAATAATGTTTTGACATATTAAACATAAAACATTGAATACTGATATTTGAAATAATAAAAATTTTTTTAAGATACTTTAAATGTGAAATTAAAACCAGTAGGTGGCAGCAAGTCACTGTTAATAAGTGAGTCTTTGAAACTGAACCGAATCATTTAAACAGTTGAGGAACAAAGCGCTGTCATGTTGCTCAAAGACGCAAAACAGCGCTGTGGCTTTGTTTGGAATTATTTTTGTTGGCGAAATAGTGTAAAAACAGGCAACATGGTGTCTAAAACGTAAGTCTCTTAATAAAACTTCTAGTTTATTGAACTGTTGTAAAAAATCTATATCACATTTGTATATGGCAATTTTTGGAGAAAAAAACTATATGAAGTGGTATAAATATACACATTTTCTGCCCCCATGTCTTGAATTTGTGATCATTCTGAATGTATTTTAATAGACTGAATCATGCAGTGAAAGAGCGCACTCTAAATGCGCCCGTGCACTAGACTTCACATAATGCGTGCACTCTGTAGGTGCTTTTTTTGCGTTGTGAGAATATTGAGCAAAATAGCTCATTTGTCATGGTGTTACTTAACTATATCATGTTATGAATAAACTAAACATTTTGAATTTTTACCTCTGTGTTTCTTCTGAGTTTATGTGTGCTGTCACGCTCATTTGTTCTGAAGTCTCGAGACAAACAGAGTGAGCCTCAGCGCGACCTTGTATTCTGTTAACTTACTGCAATTCTCTCTGATGACGCAGGGGAAGAAAAAAATCTTCGGTCTGTCCAATGATTGTAAACAGTCATTAGGTCCATCAGACTGAAGATATTTTAGCGGTAATGTGACCAAAATTATTTAAGACCCATCGAATCCGAATTTAAGACATTTTAAGACTTTGTAAGGCCTTATATTAGGAAAACATTATTTAAGACATTTTAAGACTTTTTAAGGACCCGCGGACACCCTGTATACCTGAAGATTGGATCCCCACTGTGCCTTTCCCTCAAGCAAGGCATCTAGTACACTGCGGCTCGGTTCTCCACTGCTGGAGTCGTTTCCACTCACTACATAATATGCAGAACGAACACGTTTGAAAAACTCCTGGTCCACATTTTTAGCACTGCAGTGGTTGGGAATGTAGGCCAGATCCACATAGATAGGAGGACCAGGGGGCACAGACGCACTGAATTTTGCAGAATTTGATCCTGTTGGAAAATTTAAATGAACAAAAACTTGCTGTTAGTGTGATGTTGGCAAAATCTTAATTTGCAT